GTTGGACTAGATGATCTTTGAAGGTCCCTTCCAACCCAAACTGTTCATGAACTCTGACTTGCCAGTTCCCTTTGCCAGTGCTTGGGACCAACTCTCTTGGGATGCTGCAACCGTTGAGTAGAGGAACGTCTGCTACAACCCAGATGAAATGCCACCTGCTGCAGCCTCCTGCCACTGCAACTCATCCCCTGTGCCTGAAAGGTCACCAACTTCTGCAAGCACCTGGCTAGCCCCACTGCTCTGAGTGCAAGGGTTTTGCTCCACACCTAGGCTTCTGCAGCACAATCCATCCCATCGCACTGCTCTGCTCTCCAGCTTCCTACTTCGTCTCCGCTGGCAGCTACAGGTGGCCTTGTCACAGAGGTGACAAGTCTTCCAGCGCAGCTGGTCTGCAGAAGCTGGCTTAGTTCACACGCTTACTCTGCAGTAAATACAAAACTGCTTACCCCTCCTGCATTGTCAACTTGTTTTATGGAGGCAGGAAAGCTTTTCTGCGAGAGCGTAAAAAAGAAGGCGGCACCACGTAAAGCAGATTTTATTCAGATTTCATCCTCAGACTCAAAAGCTTGCACGGCAAACGTGGCGGTACTTACAAGTATGCCAGCAGAAATGCAACACAAGGAGATGCAGAAAGCAAAAAATACATTCACAGGTTTTGGAGGTAGTTGCGGGAAGACAAAAGCGCTGATTAGTGTGACCTGTACGGAAGAAAACGAAGATGAAGACTTCGCTCTCTTCAGGGCTGCTACAAGAGCAGGCTCGCCCCGACGGCTGGCGTACCGCAGCGCTCGGGTCTAGCTCTGCACACCCCTCCCTGCTCTTTAACTCCCCCTTAACTCCCCCCGTGCGAAGAGCTGGAGGGAGATGGAAAATTCTCGTGGAAAATTCTGGTGGAAATTCCAGCGAGCCAGCAGGCAGAGGGGTGCGCGCCGCCCGTGCAGGAGCACCCCTTCAGCCCAGCTTCCCACCAGCGGCACCCCGGCTCACCCTGACGCCTCCCTGCACCTCGGCTCACGAACGCTGCTGCCGCCGCGGACCCCAGAACCGACGCTCTCCCGTTGCGACGGCGCTGTGTTTGCCTTTAAAGCATAGCTCGAGACTAGCTGACAAGCTTTGGAAAAACTCCTACAAGCCATCAATAGAGGGAAATAGATCATAAACAGAAGGAAATCAGAAGAAGCAAACGCATTCTTGGGTCATAAGGACTTTATCATCTCACCCAGCCTCGCGTTCAGCTGGGACGGACACCCTGCCCATGGGCTTGGGGCTTTTTATTGCGCAGCCAGATCTCAAAACACGGCTCAAAGAAAGCTATTCTCCTCCTTTGCCTGTTGTCAAAGAGTGTCAAAAGAAAGAAAGACGCAGCCCAAAGGGACTGCCCGGGCCCCAAACTACAGCCTGTTCGGTCAGTGAAGTTTCGCCCCCCGTTTTGGGGAGGAACTCTGGTTTTTACCCCGTCACCTAAGGGAGGCACAAAATGGGGGACAGAGCAGGGGATACTTACCACAAGCAGCAAGGACGTTAAGCCGCCAACAACTAGATTGATGACTCTGTCCTAAAAAAGAGAGACCACAGTTAGACGCACTCCTTGCCAAAAAAAAAACCCAAACCCCAGATAAAACAGAACAGTAAGGGACGATGCCAAGAGCAGCGCATCGGCCCGGACCCGCATTATCCCCAGCACACCCAGCAGCACCATCGAGGCTCCCTGGTCAGCTCTGCCGCGCAGGAAGGCTTCCCTTGGCTCCACGGACCTCAGGGACGTTGTACTGGCCAAGTCCTTGTGCAGCAGGTTTGCTCCTTTGCAACTGGCTCTTCATCAATTACAGATGTGCAAGTCCTTTTCAAAAACGGGAGCGCGCAGACGAAGGTTGTCAGAAAAAGCTTATTTTAGCCTCAGTGCCTGAGAACGGACAGCTTGATAATGTCTTAGGTGGGAATTTGTGAGCTGCTGGCAAGGAGGTGAAGCGTTCCCCGCACCCCAGATGTTCTCCCCTAACAGCAGCAGAGCCGAACACGCCTCAGGGTGGCCCTGCTTGGACGGTCGGGTATCCCCCCTTCTCTCTGCTGCTCCCTGTCCGTATAGAACACTTGGCTGGCAGGAGACAACCTTTTCGCGCCTGGGAAGGGGTATGCCTTGGTGTCGGCATCGCAATCCCACCCCAGATGGCATCAGGGCAGCGACCAGCGGTGACACTGGGCTGCGTGACCGCAGGCTCAGAGGAGCACCCAGGGCAGGACCCCGGTACTGACCCACTCGCTGGAGCAAGAAACGATTTGGTGCAAAAGGAGCGCACTGCCATCCCTGCCGGGATACCTGCCTGCCCCCCTTCATGGTGCCGCTCCAAGTACAAACATCTACCGCCAAAGTCAGACTGGGTTGCCCGCAGTCAGGTGCAACACCCCTGGCAGCTGGCTCCCCCCAAAAATGCTAGAACAGCAGCAGAAAAGGTGTGCAGAGAGTGAAAAGCCAGCACTCAGTTAACTATACTGAAAGTCATTCAACTGGTACGGTTAAAGGAAAGTGAGAAACGAGTTCATGCAGCTAAAGCATCTCGCCCAAGACATCCCGGCCAGCAGGCAGGGCAACCCAGGTTTCCGTCCACCTGGTCTTGCACCCTCCCAGCATTACATTCTGGGAGACGATTTGTAGAGGGAGAAGCCCCATGTGATGAAGAAGCAACACACGGCGAGAGGCGGGCCAGGAGGAGAAAGCAGAGAGCAAAGAGGAAGAGGCAGAAGAGCCAAGCGTGCTCTTGGAGGAGAGCACCAGCCCTGACCCAAGGCTCGGTGGAGCTTGGGTGCCCAAGCTTGCGGCCCACTAACAGGCGGATGCTGTGCCCTGGTCGTGTTCATCCCCAGGGGAAAGGACCACAGCAAGCAGACTCTTTAACACCTCTTCTATTACTCCCCAGCTCCTCTACATAAAACCAGACCACTTCTGCTGCTACAGCTCAGAGGCCCCAAGTCGTGGGGGCACAGCAGTGGCTGCAGCAGTGGGAAGTGACCCACCTCTGTAGGAAACCCTCAGCAACACCCCCGGCGCAGGGTCCTCACCAGCCAGGCACAAGCCCCTTCTCCTCACCCTCCTT